GGCATACAATTGCGGTTTTCCACTGGGTTTTCATAGTCAACCCTCAAAACAACACAGTCAAATGGCCACATGCAATTCACTTTTCTGCGGGTACTTCTCGGCTCCCCGGTTTCAATACCGCTGCCATCAATGGGAACCAACCTGAAAGGGGCCCCACGAAACTGGAGTCTCAGTTTCATTTCACTCCGGGATTCGGAACCTCCGAGCCTTTTTTGCAAGCTCCATGTGACTCGCCCTTTTTGATACCCAAACCAGCTGAGGGCTCCCTAAATGGGCTTGTGGGTTGATCTATCTCCTCCAGTTCCACGATGCCCCCAACCTCCACAGCCACACCTGGCAATCCCGTTGTCTGGGAACTGACTTGGCCGCAAATCGAATTTCTTCCCAGCGAATTCCTTTAACTCCTTCAGTAGTTTTTGTTCTTGGAAACCAAGACTCGCCGTTGGCTTGGTCAAAGTTAAACACACTTCCCCTAAACGAAAAAGAACACATGACATATCATGAAAAGCCCGCTGGAGGCCTGCGAATTCTTTCAACACGGCTGGCACATGCGCGAGCGCCATGGGTTTGATTCAATGTTCATTGAATGACTAGATCCAATCCTTTCAGAAGAGATGAATTCAACTAACCAATTCTGTAGCTTTGTGGCTTGGTCAGTAAAGGTTCGGAGAAACCCCCGCTCGTTTGGGAAGCTTGATTCCCACTACTGCCAACCGCTAGTTTGTCATGAGACGCTTCCGCTTGTCGACGAATACTCCCTGCAGATGTGCATAGACTTCCAAACGGCATTTTAACGTGAATGGGCTTCTTTGAGTAACCCGACCCGCTCCGAACTCCGAGCCTATCTTGGCAACCCCGTTGTTTATCGGCTGTTGAACTCATTAATTTCTTGAGGTTGCCCTTTTTGGGGAGTTTTTAAGGGGAAGCCAAAAGTAATGTTAAGTGGACCTTTAGGAAATGATCTATCCACTCATGCCCGTTTTTTTCAATCAGCCCAACCCTCGGTTTTTCGGGATTAGACAGATTTCCGAAAAGAGTGGAGAAGCCGTAAAAGGGGGGGCACCGACCGCTGAAGCAAAGCGCAAGGGACGGAAGCACGAGGGACTTTCCAAGGTTAAATTGAATTCACTTGTGGATTCGGCAAATGCTTGTTTTCCGGAACCCGGCAAAGCAAATGACCATCGAGGCTGATGCGGGCACTTGTTTTTTCCCACCGGTTCGCCGATGGAATTCAGGTTTGTCCTTGCAGCAAAGTACTGGAAAGATGCATGTGCCTCTCCTGAAAAGTTTGACATACCTTCTCATATGCCCACATGCCCCAGTATGGGGGAAAATCACAAATATCAAACTGTAGGATCCCTCTTCGAGGTATGCCAAACTTGTCCCAAAGAGTTCGGAAGGACCCCTGTCGGTCAGCATGTCAGGCTGTGCATTTTTGCAGGCGTTAGCTGAATGGTGCAGAGGGTGTTTCCCAAAATAGGGCAACCCCGAAACGACCGAAAAGGTTTGTTTACTCCTGGTTCCCTGGAAACGCCATAAAAGCCGTGGTATCAGTTTGGTGTTCAATACCATTCGCTCAAGATCCACCGATGTTTTGGAGGCACCCCTTTTCAAGAACTCCAGTCCTTCCGAACGGAATGCTCCACATGGTGGATTCGCTCTTCCCAGGCCGAAGGTCCTAAGTTTAGTGGAAGAAACCTTTGGTTCCAACAGCTCTAAGGGCCCTTTGGTCACAAGCCCTCTAACAACCCACCTAGTGGCAGGGAGCTGCAGCCCACGGCGAAGCGGCTATGGGAGCCCACCTAAGGAACGCAGAATATGGTCCAATGAAAACAAAAACACGAAGTGCGTATGGAACTATCGACAGCTAAGACCGAAAACCAGATTTCCCGAGTCTGTTTTGCATATTTCGTCTAAGAAGCTAGTTTGTTGGAGGAGACCCCAGCGAAATAATTGGGGGGGTGATGGAAGAAAACCACAAGAGATATACAGGAAGATGGAGGCGTAAGCTTGATGGAAATGCAGACAAAACTACGAGGAAATAGAGGACATCTGCAAAGAGATGTCAGGAGACTGTCGCAGACATGACCTTACTATGTTTGATGGAAATACATTGAAGGAGACATTTGGGAGAGACATGGGGGACAGCAACAAGACCAATAGGGAAAAATGGAACGGTTTGAAGGGAAAGCCAAAAGGAAAGCCACCTTTTTGCGGGTCCAATAAGAAAAGAACATCCCCACAGTAACTAGTAACTATACTGACTCCACCGTAAGCGGGTCCCGCTTCATGGATTCATTGCCTCTGCACAGAGTCCCGGTTAGCTGCAAATTGCAAGGTAGACAATTCTTTGCGGGTCGCCAAATCTTGCTGACCCGAGCTGACTGGCCAGAAAATGTTTGAGCTTTGAACTCGAGAACTAAACCGATGGAGGCACTCGCCAGGAACCCTTGCCCTTGACTAAACCGATGGAGACACCTGCCAACAATTTGCCAACAACCTGCAAAGGGCAGGTGAACATGGCACACTCTTCATATGCAAACAGCAAACCAAACAAGGAAGCTTGCTAAGGAAAACCAAGGACTGCTTGAGAGTCAGGCAAGTTTAACTATTTTTGCTGCAAACTTGACTCGCCGTACAATTCTTACATTGGAATCCCTCCCAGCGATTTACGTGGACATTGGCTTAACCATGAAGTGGGCTATATTTCGTGAGAGTGTGTGGTAATTGTCTAACCTGTGCCCGTTGTCTTCACTGCAACTTGCACTGAACCACTATGCAGCAAACACAATGGCAATCTCATGTCCATTTGAGTAAAACTGAAAACCTGGGATTGAAGATGCCCATCCCACTGCATGCAAAGGGTTCAAAGGACACCCGCGCCTATTTCAGGTCGGGATTGTCCCCTACCGGTGTGACTGTGGCGAATTTGCCCAAATCTGACCAGCCGGCACTACTTGACACCTCCGAAATGAGTGGTTCTGTTGGTAAATGGCCATCCATGTTCTGCTCATTGGCGATCCATTCAAGACAGGCATAGTACCCAACCCTACACAGCCTCACCGCCCCTCCCAAAAATTGATGGACATAAGCTCCCCATGTAGCTGATATTCAAGGGTTCATTTCCAGTTCCCGGTCATATCGCTGGGGAACCCACGAATATGGCAACAGCCAAGTCCCTTTGATCGCAAGGTGGTTGTTCTGAGCGGTCAGGTCCAACAGCGGTCCAAAACAAGTTCCTTTCAAACATCACCACAAAAGAATCTTTAGAGGGTCATGGAGTCTTTTCTGACTTTGGGTGGCTTAAACATCACCTGTGCCAGTTTAAGTCACCAATTGACATTGACAACCTCCAGTTGATATGGGCCAAAAAAGGCACCTTCTTTATCATATTTGAGTCTACAGGGAACTAACTTCCTCTTCCAAAATAAGTGGGAATCAAAAAGCGGCAGGGGCACAGGGAAGGGTCGCGACGTCGCGACCTAGGTTCGGGCCTCCTTCCCGAAGATGTCGACCAGAAGGTCTGAGCAGCCATTCACCACCTGCGTTGCGCCAAGCAAAGAGAAGCAAACCGATGAATCCACCGAAGTGCACAGATCACCTTTCGAGGAAAGTCTTCCAACAGGGGTTGGCGAGTTTTTCCGTGTTGGTGGGAGGGTATAGAGGCTGAGACTGTTGAACTTGCTGCTTGGTGCGACGGCCCAATGAAAGCCAAGCCTGCAGTGGCAAGACTCCCATTGCTCAAATGGCATGACCTGAACTAGCACCCCAAGAAATCAGGACCATGTTGTGACGACACCCCCAATTGTTACAAACCAGCATGGAGGTCAACTGGATCTTTACTTTGGATGTTCACCAAAGCTTTAGCGATAAGCATGTGGCTCGTCAATCAACTAGATTGAATCATTTAACGGACTGTAAGTACCTGATGTTACTCAATGACTGCTGGATCACTGCGGCACCGGCCGGCATGAGCAAGCCAACAATCTGCAACCGTTTGCTGCATTCTCGGCAAAGAGATGTTCGCCACAGCGCACACGAATATTATTTTTGTGCTGCCAAAGCAGATGTCGGTACAGGCTAGTTTCCCCCGTGCCCAGCATGAGCAAGCCGGCAATCTGTAGCCGGCTTGCTACGGTTCCTGATGTTCGCAAAAGCGCGCACATCTATGCACCTTCCTGGTCCGAAGTCCAGAGAGTCAGGTTGTCTCGCAGCAGCTGCATGATCAGGGTCGAGTCCTTGTAGGAGTCCTCTGCCACGTTGTCCAGCTCGGCAATGGCGTCCTCGAACGCCGTGCGGGCCATCTTGCAGGCCTCGTCAGGGTTGCCGAGCACTTCGTACATGAACACCGAGAAGTTCAGGGCCAAACCCAGGCGGATCGGGTGCGTCACTGCCAAGTCCTTCGCCGCCACCGCTGCCGCCTCTTCATAGGCCTCCCTCGCCTTCTCCGCTGCAGCCTTCTTGGCTTCCCCATCACGGAACTCGGCGATGTAACGGTAGTAGTCCGCCTTCATCTTCTGGTAAAAGACCTTGGACTCACCGCTGCTGGATGCCGGGATGAGCTTTGAATCCAAGAGGGACAGGATGGTGTCGCAGATCGACTGCAACTCCTTCTCCACCTTCTCGCAATACTCCTTGGCGTAGCCGGCGTTGTCAGTATTGCCTTTGGTGGTCTCCTTCTGCATCACGCTAGTGATGATGCGCCATGCAGCTCGGCGAGAGCCAACGGTGTTCTTGTAGGCCACAGACAGCAGGTTGCGCTCCTCAACGGAAAGCTCGCTGCCATCGTTGCCCACGTTCTTCATGTGCTCAGCCATCTCGTCATAGCGCTCGGCCTGCTCAGCGAGCTTCGCAAAGTAGACCTCCTTGGCACGAGACGACATTGCTTTCAGAATCAGAACGAACCTGACCACAAAACAGAAGTCTTGAGCCAAATCAATCGCTACGTCAGCGGATCGCTAGTGACCCTGGTGTCAGCAGTAACTAACCTTGCATAATGCTCAATCCCCCCAACCCTGTCCGTCATCACTGTCCGATACTGTCATCACAAAGACTCCTTGGATCCCCGGGATCCATGGGCTGTCCTGAGCAAACAGCAAGGCAAGGTTCGAATTTTAATCCCCTATGGCATATATATGAGCCACATCCCTCCAAACCGGTCAAATGGGCATGAATTTAAACATGGGATCCAAACTGGTGGACATGCAGGGGATTCATGCCCATCACTTTTCAGGCTCTGAAACAGCCAACATTTTCTGGGTATTGCCTACATGGATATATGTCTCAAGATGGTTGTTGAACCTCTTTTGGGACCAATCGCTTCGGCCTGCGGGTGCTGCTCGAAGTCAGGAGCGCAGCTCACAAAGCCCTGGCATCGCCGTTTTCGGGCTAGGAGCCCCCCGTGATTTGGTCTTCCCCCGATCTAGGGTTGAAATTGGTGTAAAAATGGGGGAGAGAAATCCTCTACTGAATCAGTTGGGTGTTTTGGTCCCCAGAACGGCTTGTTTCAACCTTCTCCCGAACACCCTTGCGAAACACTCGGTCAATGGATCGCAAGAGATGGCACTCTGGAGCTCGACAGCTCTTGGGAACAAGTTGGCACGTGTCATAGGATTTGGACCCCCCGAAATGGCGATTGTTCCCGTTGGCTCCAGTTGAACACCAACCTGACAAGGTTACCATGGTTACCCATATATAAAGAAAACACGCAACCTAACAGTGAGTGCGTAGGATGGAAACCCACGGCTTCCCCACGGTTCAGGAGGTTCACAGAACCTTGTTCACGGTTAAGCAATGTGTAGGTCATCTTCGAGACCCTTGCACATGAATTGATCCACGGGCTTAAACTGGTGATCTCTCAAGAGACTTTTCTTTTCTCTGCAGCTTCAGGCTTTCTGGTCTGAATCCCCTGTATTGATTTTCGATGACGCCCACACGCTTGGCAATCCTAGAAGGCAGCACAAGGCGGCACCATCCCACAAGAGCCTCTGCCCTGCAAAAGGCCAACGAGTATGATGTTGAATTGGGGACCCTTTGGACGTCATCCACCAACCACTTTTGCTAAGGTTCGCTGTTCAAATTCATGACCACATGGGCTTGACCCGAGTTCCAACTCGAGAACCCCTGTCCCGCCTCTACTTTCAGGACCTTCTTCACCTGCGCCGCAAGAAAAACCAAAGCCATCAGCTTTCGAGGCACCTTCTTTGCAGGCTGCCAGGAGTCTCCTGACCAACCAAAACACGCCAACCAAACAACTCACCCAACCAACCCCCCAACCAGCCAGCCAAGCAACCAACCTGAAGTCTCCTGCTGACTCCTTCAAATCGGGATATACCCAAATTAAGGAGATACCCCATGTTGGGGTCCACACTGGTGGACAAATCCGATCGGCACCAGTTGGGAGAGATGGTCCCCAGTATTCAAATCGGGTTTCATCCATCACAAGTGTCAGGTTTCACTGGGTTTGACGACAAGGCAATCCACCGTCAAGACTACGCTTGAGAACCCCCATCCTTGGAGAACCCCTCACCCCCAGAGAAGTCTGCCTCCAGTTTCATGGACCCAGTCAGAAACGCACTGACCTCCATTGAAGCCTCCCCTTGAACCTTTAGCCCCACAGACATGAACTTGGGGCGCCTGTGCTTGTCCAGTTAAAAATGGAAGCAATCCTTTCCCCAATGCACCTTGTCCAGGTCGCCGCCGCAGGCAGCCTTCATCTGACCTGGAAGGGGTTCCAGTCAAAGGTCCCGTGTCCAAAGTACTAGAATGTCTCAACACATCATCCATTCTACCACACATTTTGATTCTTAGTTAGCTCCCAAACTAATGCCAGTCATGTTTTGTTGATCCCCAACTAATGTCAGTTAATCACCACATAATGACATGGTTCCCTGACACCATTTGCCTTTCAAAGGTGCCAAAAAGGGGCCCCGACCCGGTTTTCTGACGCGCCAAACCTGCGGAAGGGTACTGGAGCATTGATTTCCTCTTGAAGGGATTGTCAGGTGTTAGGCGGCATCGCTTTTTGACGAGCCATGGCCACAAAGACAATGCCTATGTCAATAATCACTCACCAAGAAGAAATGGACGGAGTTGCTCACAAGACCTGTCGCAAGGGTTGAAATATAGCCGGAAACGGACCACAAAAGGTCCACTACGATTTTCCGCCCTTGTGGTCTGGCCATCATTTTCAGGCCAACAAAGGAACCTTTATGCCTTTATGGGTGAGATTCGCAAACCTTCGTGAGGTCGCGATTGGGAACATGCCCAACCATTGGTTGTCACACAGGGACCTCTTGCCCCTAGAAAAACCACAAGGAGTAGACCCCGATTTGTACCCTTGCGGTTTGGGCACCTTTTGAACAGCTCGGAGGTCCGGCTTTTGTTTGCTGGCCTTCATTGATGGTTCGCAGCAGTCAGCAGGGAATGCAGGACAGCCCCATACCCATCCCTTGTGGTTTCCTTCAAGATAATCTCTAGATTCATTCCCAAAACGCCTCAAACGAATCCCCAAGTATGTCCTATCCTTACATCTCGTCCTATGCTCTCTCTAGAGGCATTACCACCTGGACCTTTTAATCTCAGGCAAAGACAGGTGGGTGGGAATGGCCTTTCTCTTCAAGTGACGGACGTCATTTACATGGGGGTCTGTCCACCAAACACACAGGCCACCGTTTTTGGCAGTCTGCTTAAGGGGGTTTGCCCCCTCCCAACGAAAGTTGAACAACGGGCACCCCTGAGCGTTTGGGCAAACGCTGTTTCGCGGCCTACCAGGTGCAGGCCGCAAAGTCGTGCAGCCGCCTGCGAAGAAAACAGATTCAACAGGGCAAAACAGTGCCTCTGAACAGCGTCCTAATTTCTTGGTTGCTGTTGACCCCTCTGCAAAAAGTGAATAACTTGTTGTGGCTTTAGTGGAAAACCCCTTGATTTCCCAAAAAGTTAAAGTCTGAAGATCCAACCCAATAGCAGCCAAGTAAAAAGCCTCGCTACTCACTTGAGTGGATTGGACAAAAAGGTCCCAACTTCTGTCTGCCACGTCAAACGGTCTTCTGAAAAGAATGAAAGATTGGAATCAAGAAACGCGAGGGAGACAACAGAGGGCCGTACCTGGGTGTTCGGGGGGTGGCTTATGGATTCCCAGATCCTTGAACCATAAAACAGTGGCTGCCACCAATGTCAGCATGAAACCACCGGGGAACCAGGATCAGTAAGTTTTGCGGAAGTTTAACAATAGGGCGGATGTCCCATTCATGACTCCGGCTTTGTCTTCTTTGGATTCCAAATCTGGTCAATTCGTTGGGTTTTGCCACATCTGCGATGGTCGGCTCTTCCTCTTATGTGCATGGATCCTCAAAGGGGGCGGTCCTATCCTGGGCTTATCCAGAGATAGACCCTCCGAAAAGACGCCCCTTGAAGGTTCATGATTACCTAAGATGGGCTACTTGTCTGTTGGGCGGTTTCAACCAGGAGCTCCTGCGCTGCAGGACCAGCACGCAGGCTAATTAATCCCTTCTCCCCAATCGAAGAACACTTAACAAGAACTTCCGCAGAGCTGAAGCTAATTCAGCTAGCTTCCTCTAAGAATGCATGCTCCTGCGCGTGATCTTTAAGACTAGATGCTCTGCGCAAAAAAGCTGGACATCGCGAGACGTGGGGAATAGAAGCGGGCTGCGCCCCTCTGCGCGAATGGGCTCTTCGGCATGTGCGCGAATCCTCTCGGTCGCAACGATGGTCTCCGGACGGTCTCGGAGCCGGTGCAGCGACGGGCCATTGGCACGGCAGCGCGCACTGCTTCGCATTTTCACTCAGTGAACCCTCTTCGCAATTTCGGGGGGTCGACCTTCAACAACTAGTGTTTTTCATTGCTTTTCATTTTGCTCGCGAGACCCTCTGCGGTCTTTCGGGGGCTGCCATCAAACAAAACGCTGTTTTTGTTTAAACGCTTTTCAGCTTGCGTCAAAAGGTAAGCCCTCTGTGGACTTTCGGTGGGTCACAGAGTTCCAACGTTTTGAGCCTTGACTAGCAGGACTCTAAGGAATCCCCAAGGAAGGGACCTTCATCATGGGTGAGCTCCTTCCAATCCCAGGTGAGCCTGTCATAGTTTAGCCAGTTGTGATCGGTGATGCAAGTGCGGCGCAAGGAAACCCCTCTGAAGCGGTTTCTGGTGAGCGTCTCCTAGTGGCGTGGCGACTTTCTAGAAAAAGAGACCCATTTGTAGCGTGAAATCCACCAAGCACAAGAATGAGACAAGGGCTTCGAACTGGGATCTAGAACTCTTTGCAATCCACTAGGATATTCCTTAAAGCAACACCGTGGTCATGCTTTTCCCACAGGTCTTCGGAACCCATTGCATTGAAACCATCGCACAAAAACCCGCCTGGCCCTGTTCCACCGTGCAGCTCGCGCCCAAAGTGCCTGTAACGGCTGAACGTTTCGAAGCCTTCAAACTGGGATCCCAAATTGTGTCAAAAGGATTCCCCCCCAAAAAAACAACAACAACAAGAAATGGTGGTTTCCTTTGCGTTTCCCTTCACCGGCCAAAAAGGGCACCCTCATCCGGAATCACAGTGGGACAAAGTTACAAAGGAAACCACTGCCATCTAGCATAAGCGTTAGGCATTGGACAGGAGCAATCCATCCGGCCATGTTTGAGCCAGCCAGTGGCTGGCTGCTCGTCATTTATCAATTCTTAAGGATTAATATGAATTAATTAGCGTCGTTACCAGAGGTTCAGGACAGGGTTTGTATACATGTTCCCTTGGCAGAAAGCTAATCTTGCCAGGGAAAGTTGACGGACTTCTGAAGCCATACCCTCCTTTTCCTTCTTGCGATGCTCCTCTTCAGAAAATAGCAACCGAAACCAGGGAACCCTCTCTCGTGTCGTCTGTCCCAACTCCTTCAGGCTTTATGAAATTCTTTCAGGGCTTCCACTTTTGAAGGCAAATCAATTCAGACCCGATTTTGGCCAGGATGAACAGCGCCAAAAGGAACCCCTTGCAAGGTCCCAAACTCCTAAGGGGCATCCCCCCCCCCCACGCGCGGGAGCAGGCGCCTTTCAGCAAGGAGTTGTCAGGGTTCTTCGGGATCTGCCCCGAGATGAAGAGCAGCTTCCCGCTGCCTGGACTTTCGGGTTGCATTTTGCGCACCCGTTTGCCGGAGACACTTTCAGGGACCAGAACGATCTCAGGGCAACCCTGAAGTTGCTTATGTGTTGCAGAGCCTCAAGGGAGCAGTTCGGGGTGCTTCGTGGGATCACTGATTGGCGTTGCCTCAAACTGGCGACCTAAAACTCGAAAAACATGCAGGCGAATTCGGGGCTTCCGTTGGCAAAGGGCCTGCCTTGTATATCACCCCAAAGGAAACCGACCTTTTTTTTTCAACAAATGTCGATGGTGGAAAGCTACGGTCTTAGGTGACAATGCGGGTGTCTCTCCAAATATGGGCACCCCAACGTGGGCCACGGTTCCCTTCGAAAGCACTCCCAAAAGGCTGCCCACACGCGCAAACACGCAAACATACAAACAGACTAGCACACAAATCAACACACACACACACAGGCAAACATGCAAGCCAGCAACCACACACACAGACACACATAGAAACATAGAAACGCACAAACACACACAAAAGCCAAACACCCAAAAACACAAACAAACAAACAAACAAACAAACAAACAAACAAACAGGCAAACAGGCAAACAGGCAAAAAAGCAAACAGGCAAACAGGCAAAAAGGCAAACGGGCAAATACGATGCATGCACACACACACAAATGCAAATACCCAAGCACGCAAACATGCAAACACACACACACACAAACACAAACACACAAACACAAAGAAAGAAACACACACACACAGGCACAAATATACAATCAAACAAGCACACTGGGCCCAACAAGCAAGAGTCAAGAGCCTCCTTTCCTTTTGAAAGGACAGCATGTGTACTGAATATACGAAACACGGACATATAAACATGCAGGAAAACAAGAACACTACCACCAAACACCGATACCGTGGAACAAGCAGGTGTGGCTACACATATACCTCTCTATATATGTATATATGTTTACACATATCCGGGCATTTATTCACATTTAGTTGTCTGAGTAGCTTATTAATTCATGCAATTGCATTTCTATTGCCCTTTCTCCCATATACTGAGATGTTTGGGATACTTGCCACTAATTTTGTTTTGATTTGTGTATCATTAACATATTATTAGTAGATATTTGCTGCTTGATTAACGTATCAAGCCATTCATCGCGGTGAGTTGGAGCCCTGCCGAGCCCCGCCATTTCCGCTTTGCTTCGAGGCGCGGGTGAAGGGCACATAGTTGGCCGCTGGCGCCGCCGCCTCGGGCACCTTGAGCCTCGCATCCGGGCGAAGCCAAAACCCGTAGGTCATTGGTAGCTGGGACAGGCGGGGAACCAAAAACCCGTGGGTTTTTGTTGGTAGCTGGGAAACTGGGAAACCGCCCAGTCGAGGTCTTGGCC